CATTTTTTTGGTTATGTTTTTTTGGTTTACCATTTAGGTTAAGACATATAATTAAAAACTGCTTTTAAATTAGAAGATTTATCATATTTAAGACATACATATTGTATGTTCAAGTTTTGTTTAATCCGATAGATTTACAATTTTTCTACATTTACTTTAATGTGCACATATACAGGGTGTCTAAACAATATCTCTCAATCCGGAAATGGACTATCCCTAATACTTTTCTACGTATATTTGCGTATTCTACGTATAAATATAAAAATGTACATAATCTTTTTTAAAATTGTTTCGTAAAATTTTAAAACTTCATTTTTCCGTGATATCTTGATAACAATGTGTTCAATTTAATGTGAGATAAGATTTTATGAAATTCGAATTTACCACGCCATTCCTGTCAATATGAAAATGAAAACGCAATCCGCGGCTTTATTTTGGAATTATTAACGAAAAACATTAAGCAATGAAAGGCGGGCTTCGCTGACGCGAGGCGGCCGAGCCAACGAGTAGACGAAATCTAGTCCACTCATTGGCTTGGCCGGTTCGCGCTAGCTGATCTCGCCTCATTAATCACTGTTTCTCGTTACTAACTCGTAAACAAAACCGCGGATTGCATTTTCGCTAATGATATAGTTACTTCAAATGTCCTCAGGAATTCCACATTTTCCGGAAATACCATAATTTTGGGACACATTGTATACTAGACATAAGCAGTGAGCTACACTTATTTTTATTTCCCATAGTCTCTTATGTCTTTATAATAGTATTTAAAGTATACATATTTTTGTTTTAGATTGTTTTAAATTGATCCATCCTATCATCGACAACGTAGGAGTGAGAACATCGATATTAAATCGATATTAAATCAATTTAATAAACACGTGTACATATATATACTTCATTAGAAATTGATTTTTTGCTGTATATCACTATAAAATAGAAAATAAAAGATTTTGTTCCATTTTAGTTTTTAACTTTGTTTACACTGTCCGACAAAATCAAACTTTTTTTCTGGGTTCCTATAGCCACTATAAAATTCTTGTAGAGCTTTACTCCCTGAACAATAATCCGAAAACCGAATTGCTCCATCATCCTCAGCTTTTTAAATAAACGAACTTTTGTAAAAACCCAAAATTTTCGACAAAAATGAGGTATTGCATAAAAAGTAAAAACGTTAGAAAGTTCTAATTGATGTTAACAGATAGAGGAGAGTTTCCCGAATATAGTGGCATGCAATTTATTAATTGTTTTTGGTCCTAAATAGCAACAAATTGATGTCAAAGTTTAAAAAAGCGTCGACGTGCGCAGTTTCTTCGCAATATTTTTGTATTTTTACGAAAAGTTCTTTGTTCAGCACGAAAACTCTACCCAGGATCGGATTCTGTAGACATTTCTGAAGAAGAAACAGCCCGATAGAAATGTCAAAACGATGTACATTTTGAGTAGGTCAAGAAAATGTTCGTCGGCAACGTGTACACGATGTTTTGCCGCCATGTGCTTCGCTGCACGCTTCTCTCTGTCCGACAGGGCCGAAGCTATGGGTGATCAACACCGTTGGAGGGATCCAATGGGACACCCACTTAGCGTGTGGGACGTGCCATTTTTTTTAGTACTTCAATGTGCTGTCTTCTTTTACATATTTTTATGGATAATAATCACCAAACTGTGAATCATAAATTAAAAATGGAGAAATAATAAAAGAAAAATAATGAACAAAAAATATTCATTTTATTCTGAATTTGTTCGAATTACAAGTATATTATGTATACAGTTATCATTTCAATTATAACGATAATACGATCATGAATAAATAATCATTTTCAAAACGTTAAACTTCTTGAAACATATTGTTAAATATATATTTAAATATTTATTTAATTATATGGCATAGAAGTCAAAATTATACTAGTGTTAGAATACTTTCGTTACCAACTCTAAATACTCTGGTGTGATTTTTTTTGGGAAATATATCACAGTTTGGTGATTATTATCCACAGAAATATGTAAAAAAAACAACATTGAAGTACTAAAAACAATTCAAATATTATTTACGAAAAGTGGTTGCCCCATTGGATCCCTCCATCGGTGTTGATTTCGCTTCGGCCCTGTCGAACAGAGAGAAACGAGCAGCGAAGCTCATGGCGGCAAAACGTCGTGTACATGTTGCCGTCGAACATTTTCTCGATCTACTCGAAATGTATATCGTTCCGACACATTTACCGGGCCGTTTCTTCTTCAGAAATGTCTACATAATCCGATCCTGGGCAGAGTTTTCATGCCGAATAAAAAACTTTTCATAAAAATACAAAAATATTGCGCAGAAACTGTTCACGTCGACACTTTTTTGAACTTTGACATTAATTTATTGCTATTTAGGACCAAAAACAATTAATAAATTGCATGCCACTATATTCGGGAAACTCTCCTCTATCTTTTAATACCAATTAGAACTTTCTAACGTTTTTACTTTTCATGAAATACCTCATTTTTGTCGAAAATTTTGGGTTTTTACAAAAGTTCGTTTATTTAAAAAGCTGAGGATGATGGAGCAATTCGGTTTTCGGATCCTTGTTCAGGGAGTGAAGCTTTACAAGAATTTCATAATGGCTATAGGAACCCAAAAATTTGGATTACCACTTCTAAACCGCCATATTAAATTTTAGTTCGTGGAAGTTTGCAACTAGTTCAGATGGCAGTTAAAACAGTGACCCAAAAATTTACTAAGAATCGAGTCCCCTGGCTTGCATCATAGGAGTTCCAAATATCAGAAGCGAAAGTTTCGTATTCTAATGCGCATGCATACATAAGATTATATAGCTTGAACATAGTATTTATCCGTTTTCCAATGTTTTTAATTTTTCCTTATGATTCAACCATCTCAAATTTTGAAATACATTTTTGTTTTTTAGATAGTAACATCTCAATGAAAATTTCATTAAATGGTCATAGAATCATAAACGTATCGTTTCAACTAGATATATTTAAATACGTTAGATGAACAACAATACATTGTTCAATAACCTGTAGTAAAAATGTAAATTTCCTACGTTTCTCGAGATCAGATGTAAACGTACCACTGTCTTTGAGTTTTCTTGTAATTAACTTATAAAGATTACCGAGAAACGATTATATTCTCGGTGTGTGCCTTTGACTTTATGCAAAGCGTGTCTATTGTTATGCTTAATTATTCGCGGAACAAGTTATTGATAAGGGAAATCTCGGGGTCATGTAACCCGACAAGAGCGTTGTAATTATCGGGAGACTATATTTGATGTGTAACAGCGTATTGTTATTGTTATATTAAGAAATAGTTGGAGACCTTACTTAGTCTTTCTCCTCTCTCTCCGTTTGCCATTAGAAGACAATTCTAAATCCATATACATAACACTCGTAAAAACTCGCGGTACCTGGTGTTCGCGAATTTTATTATGAAACCAATCATGCAAGACTGCACGAGCTTTTGTGGTCGTATTGGAGATTACATTGCGCCGATGGTTCGTCAACATGGAGAACACGATACATTCGAATAAACCAGAGTTGCGAGTATTAAATTTTCTGTCTCTGTCATCCGATTCACCCTGTTCTATCTCGGGAATGCATTAATCGGGGGATTACGCTATCAATCCAGGAAAGAATTACTTTCGAAATTACAAAATATTGAAATTATATCACTGCGGCAAACTTTTCATTGCTCGTCAGAAAGTAAAACGAATCGCATTCGAATAGTACATTATTATATGTATACTAATTAATAGACGGCAGATTTAATTGCATTTATAGCAGATTATTTTATAACACAAATTATTGTGCGAAGAGAAATTAATTTTTATTTTTTATGTCGAACAAAATTCATCTGCAAAGAACGTTTCATTTTTTACCTTTGTCAGTCTTTGAAAAATGTCTTCTTTCGTGATTACTCATTGGCTGTTGTTACGAGTATTTGAACGTTAATCTTGATATTCTTGTGATAATACGATCCAATAACTACAATTGTGCAAAATTATTCTTAGTGTGAATCTCTGTTTCAGGAAAATACCAATTATATTACTCTGCTAATTAATTACCGAAATGCCTGCATGATGTTTAGTTTATGAGAAAATATTATGAACAAAATCTTATGCGTTGGATAAGTTATTGCACTTTTTTAATTACTTTCTGCTTCTTAAAATTTAGGGGTTTTTCGAGGGCAGGGGTACTATACTTGCTTATAAACAGCGGAACTTTATGCAAAATTAGAAGGTACCTTTTTTAATTTCAAGAAACAGTAATTGAATAACAATATACGTTTCCTGTTAATCATTTTAATCATCTCCTGACGTTTTTGCCATGTATCGCATCGCTTTTCTCATTAATGAGTAAAGATTACTTATTCACCGGAAAATAAATGTTTCTAAATGTTTTAAATATTTCTATTACACAGATTTCGTTTCAGAATACTCTATTGCTGAGACACGGTTGCTTATTAATTGTCGCGACTTGCGGGGACTGTTTCGCGCGTAGTAGAAAATTTATTCTTCAAACTTTGGGACAACGTGGGCGTGAATTCTTCTGGTCTAGAAGGAGTGATCTATAATTCACAACAAAAAGTTTCTCTCAATCAGTATTCCTTTGAATGAATAAGGCATAACTTAATGTTTCGTATCTGCGTAAAAGTATGTATACATACGTATTTAGCTGTGACGACAGAGTGAGATTATAAAGCAACCAACGGTGTCACAAAGAAAAGTTTAGGTCCAGTGACCAACACGCGATAGTAAGTTCGTGTTGCGTGAAGTGTTCATTTTACAAAATGATTATCTTGTTAGAAATTAGATGTACCATATTAAATCGTTTATACAATAGAGAAAGAGAGAGAGAGGGAGGGAGCGAGGGAGGGAGAGAGGGAGGGAGGGAGGGAGAGAGAGAGAGAGAGAGGGAGAGAGAGAGAGAGAGAGAGAGAGAGAGGGAGAGAAAGAAAGAAAGAAAGAAAGAAAGAGAGAGGAGTATTTGAACTTTGCGATATTTTATGCAGTTTCTTAAGTAAATTGCAACAAAGACAGTTTTTAATTTACATCAAGGAATAAAATTTTCTTTCTAAAACTGTATTATGACAGTAGTTATAAATTGGTACCAGACAAATTATTTGCTTGCATGATTTGCTTGTATTGCGGACAATGTTTTCCGATGTTTTCTAAAATTCCAGGTTCCTTTTTTATCCGAATAGATTTTCGATCTCTGATATTATCGTGAATTCGCTACAATGGCTTCCGAAAATGGAACGCGACGGACTACGTTGTTTTTATCAGGGAACAGTTGCGGTTCCGTGTTTGTATATTATTGATCGTTCGATAATGAAAATGATAATGCCGGGTTATCGAGTGTCGCCTACTTTCAAGATGATTACAATGGACAAAGATATCGGCTAAGCAACTCGAAGACAGACGTTCCCTCGCCGTTCGGCAATGCACGTTCATTCGGTTTGCGTAATCGTCCGTGAGAATTGATCGGAAGAGGAGTCCGAAAAAACTCATCGTTTCCTACGTATTAAGGTCAGTGACACGTCGGATAGAAAAGCTGACGAAATAATGTAAACAACGGACAATCCTCGACGACCCGCTAACGTCGCGTTTTATTGAAATCTAACGAGTTGCTCGTGTCGCTCGTAAAGGAGCAGCCTATTTAAGATAACGATCGTGCATAATTAGCAGGGGGAAAAAGGCAATTCTTGAAGCACGGTGAACGAGCTGAAATAATTAATTTGACCGATAAGATAAAAATGAGAGTAAAATAAAAATAAGATGGCTATGATCGGTGAATTTTCTAATCCAACCTGGCTGACCTAGGCAAACCAGGTGGTAGAGGTCATGTTCACGTTGTGTTCGAACGAAATCGCATGAAGACGACAAATAATGATCGGAGACGCGGACATTTCAGAGTTCAAAAGCTATTACGACGCCCGGATGTTCGTAACTAACTCTCTGATGGCCCCCACATCTAGCACACGTATCCACGGTGCACAGAGCTGTTAAGGTGCATACGCAATTGTATTAGAGCACTGCAGAAGTATGCATATGATCAGACACGAAACACCCACTAGACATCTGTTTGTAATTCCTCACTTCGTCGAGGTATAGCAAAATTTTAGAACACAAGTAACCATTTGCTAATTCTCCTTTTTTCACACATTATTTGTCGGCGGTTTTCTAACAGTTCTTTTAAATTCAAGATAATAAATAATTAAAAATTTCTTAAAAAATTGTTCAAAAACTGTGTTAATCTCATCCGTAATCTTCGAAATTATTTAGATTCATATAATGCAACAAGTTCTTTTGAAATTATTATTTAAAAGAAAATTATCGAGCTTCTCTTCACACAGTTCAGTCATTGAAAAACCTATTAATTGGCTTCCAGTAACTAAAGACTCATCCCCTTGTTTTAAGCGTATAGGTTTTTCTGTTTTTGTGACTCGTCGATTTCAGAAATTAATTAACGCGTAATTAAATATTTATTTAAGTTATTAAGAATAATTGAAATTATTAACAAAGGTCTGGAGTATCTTGGGTAAAATTATAACCGCAACAAAGTTATGCATCAAAGAGTGCATTATATTTCTGACGCGTGACAACGCATATTTACAAAGATTTGTTTTTGAATTTAGGAACATTGAAAATGAACAACAAAATCAACGTGTTCCAATAAAATTCTATAAGTGCACGAATAAGATATAATCTACAATATTTATATCAGAAAATCTGATTTGTTAAGTTAATGAAAATTGGTCTTTTATTTCTTGTTATCCCATAAGTGTGGACCCACCTTTAACTACGTTATTATACGTGCAGCTTCTGAAGCTAACATGTTCAATTTAGATCAGGAATGAATGACACATTTGATGGATAGTATGGATGCTTGTCATATCTGATCACCTGTTGCATTAAACAATTGATGCTTTTGATATCCACCATAAAAGAATATAATATGGCGCCGCTGAAATGTCTATACATACTTTCAACTTCATTTGTTCGGGAACGTAAGCCAGCGTTAACAGTTTCGTTCGATGCTTCAACTATTCGGTTTGTCGCTATCCGAACACGAAAACTGTAATTTCACAGAGAAATATAGTCAACGTAGCGAAACGATTACTGCACAGAGCGGCGAAGGTCATACGTAAACGAATGATTTGTCAATACTGATTGTATTGTCACTCGCAGCTTCGGAAAAATAGTTCCTTTGTGCGCGCAGCTATGCAAGAATGTTTAATAAATTCAACTGCCACCGACTGCCCTTTATTCGAAGACAACCCAACGCGCGTTTCTCATACGAAAATATGTATATCATAAATTAAATATGTATGTCAAATGGCTGATTATTGTCTTATAAAAATCACAAGATCGAATCTTCAAAGACATTTTACAACACTTCTGGCAACACGTGCTTCAACGAAGAACTTCATCGAACAATTTTCCATGGACTCTCCCACTAACAATAACTGGACAATGCACTAATAAAACCGCTCATTTGCTCGATGGTGATACGTTCAGTGTCATCGCGCACTAGTCACTACGTAAATATCCTGCAATTTGAACAGAGTCTAACTTTTCGGCGTCCTCATCTCTGACTCACTTTGCCATGGTCCACAATGATTCAAACACCCTGGATCGAACGGTTTTCCGAAGGTAACGGGACGACGGGTGGGGATACGTCAGAGGACAACGGGGTAGTAACCATCATCGGTTCGACTCGAGACAAACAATAAAGCTTTTTCGTAGGTAAATGAGAGGACCGATGTCGGCGCGGGTCAACGATAGCGGCGATAGCCAAACTGTTCACCGAGCTGAATGGTTAAACGCAGAAGAACCGTGGTAGCGGTAGCATCGTCAATATCGTCTCGTCCGGTGAATCGTCTCGTTCGGATCGTCGCTGATCCTCATCTCTTTTGATCGGTCGCGGCAAAGACAGCTGTCGTTGTTTTGAGTACACGTGGGAATAGTGTTATTATCGTCATCGGTGTCACAGTGAATCTGTGGATGCAGCGTGTCCCATTTATCCGTGACGGTTTCAGAAGAGAGAAAATTGGATCGAAGATTTACTGAAAGTAAAGTGGTGCACAGTGAATCGTTTCGGTGGACCCTCTTTCGTCTGTTGGCCGTGATCCTTTTAAGAGAGTCCTCTGTATCTATTTCCCCATCTTAGTTTATATCCACAGGTCTCGCATGTCCTTCGTCTCTCTTCCGCGGCTCGTTCGTCTGACCGATGACAATCACGGAGTGTTACAACGTTTTTCGACCGAGTCAGGCTGCTACGTTTCAATAGAACAGGATTCATGATATCAATTGTTCGGCAACGACGGACTTGAAAACTGCGAGGATCACGTTCTGTTCCCAAGGAATGCTTTAACTAGGCGAACGTGTGCATCTTAATCTCGCCTCGTTCTGTCACCGATTAGGAGATTCTCTGAAACACTGTAAGTGCCAGGAATCAAACCTTCCTGGAGAAAGAAAGGAGTTTCTTAAGATGAAATTGTTTCTAAAATTTGGTCTGTGTTTATGATAGAGGGAAAATGTCAGAGGAAAAATATGATTAGGGATCAAAGGGGAAAATTATTGCGATAAGCAAACAAAATTGTCTCAAGGTCGCGTCTTCCGAGATGCGGTCTTTTTAAATGGGACTACACAGTTTCATCAATGTCATGCAATAGCCATGGTCATGGCAGATCCAACGACCTTTCTGCGATCAAAATAATTAGTAGACTGTGGATTTTATGCATTCGTGAAAAAAATGGGAAGGTGCAATTTAAAACGGTGAAGAAGTTGAGGTGATTGGTAAATGTCATTACATTAGTTTTAACCAATTAAAATTATGAAAGAAAGAATGATATGTTCGTCTAGCTCCAATCTCTTGTAATTGACGCAAGAAGTTTTTATTTTGTATAAAGATCCGCAGACTAGATGTAATTAGGAAATCGTTACGATACAAATATTGGTGAAATGAAATTATTATCGTTGTTTTCGTTTGATTTTAAGTGTTCAAGGTGTACGAATCGCTTCCAGCATTATTGTTAACTGTTTACAAAAGGAAACCGTATTAAAATAACATTTTACATTTTGGCACTTACAACGTTTTCTATAAGAAGTTTTCTAACTAAAAAATATGAAATTTGTTACACGAGATTATCAGAATTATACTTCGACGATATAGTGCTTGGGTCATTCTGTGGTTCACTTTCAAAATGGCTGCACTCCCGCGGGAATGCATACACGAACGAAGACGTGATATTATTAAATTGCTACCGTGCAACAATGTTATCTCTGTATAAACGTGTTGCAGAATGTTTACACGGTATTAAGGAAATAACGTTCAGTTTATAGCTCCGGAAGCGTCGCGTTTCAGGTTTTTTGCATGTTGTAAAACAAATCATCAAGATAATAATTATTTCTGGGAATGCTTAAACGAATCTACGTCAAATCTGATGCAAAATGTTTTAGTATCGTTTTAGTATTGAACACTTTCTGGGTATAAAATGTAAGCATCACAACACGCCTAATGAGCTTAGTCTTCTGAAATTCAGTAAGTCGTCCTGAATTTTCGGAAAAGTAACAAATAGTTTTAATTTGACGAAAAACGTTAAGATATTGCCGAAGTTCCAACAGACAATTTAGCTATCTATAAATAAATAGCTTTAATTCGACGACAAATGTTGCGATATTGCTGAAGAAATATGATGATAATACTGAAAAATTTCACCGAACGAATAACAAAAGGCCAACACACATTTTTATTTCTGTCCGGCAAATAAAACATTTGTCTTCGAGAATTTTTTTTTCGAAAAATGAACGTCCGCGGGGGTTTAAGTCCCAAGCCTGAGATGGTAGAAAAAACTTACTGTGGAAGCGTATGCAACGGTAACCAATCGGTTAGCAGGTGTTTGTGCTCTCGTGTGGTGTCCGGGATAGAATAAGAAGGAACGTTCACGGCGTTGCTTTGCCAGCAGGGTCATGGCTGTGAAAGAATGGTTCAGAAGGCTGCAGCCAGTCCAGTTGTACCTGCTCCTGTTCTTCACCACCGCTTTCTTCCTCGTCGAGATCATCGCTAGCCATGTGACCCATTCGTTAACGTTGCTCCTCAACGCCTATCATATGCTGTGCAACATCATCGCACTTGCTGGTTGCATTGCGTCTATCAAGGTAACATTAAATTATCCGAAGATATTCTTGCTAGGTACCATAGCTGGGTTACCTAGTAAAATTCGATGAAGTCGAAGCAATTTATTTGATAAAATGGAAACCATCTATTGAATGCTTGCACGCGACACGCGCTGTATTAGTTTGATTAAACTCTACAATTGTACAATTAATATTAGCGATATCGTTATAATTATTTCATTGCTAAACGAACAAGTACGTTTGCTTTATCACGTACAACATACGACGTACTTTGCAATTGATAATTCAATTTTACAATTGGCTATCGTTATTTTGTAAGAACAGAATCGTTTCGCAGTCCGACAATGCCTAACCGCAGGCTTCTTGAATGGCGTAATAGAAAAATGATTGCAATTTAGTCGAGACGTTGTTGCCTCATTCACCATAATCGTCGGTCATTGCACCACCCCATTTTCGTTTACAAAATTTGATGTGCGAGAAATTCGTTAAAGAAACTTTGAATAAACGTGGAACAGTTTTGCAGCGATTGGACAAACAAATTACGGTTCGTAAAGCAGTATTATAGTCTCGGCATCGGGTTTAATGAAATGTGAACGAACTTATTACGCTGGTTAATAGAATCTCTTTGGAATTGTTCGACTTCGTTGCTCGCGAGAGTGTTTCACAAGAATTAACTGCGAAACCGTTTGAATTTGATTTTTAAATGACGAAGTAATAACGAGGAATTACCTCTAATTAACTTCCTTTCATTGAATCCATTGCAGCACGTTCACGTATCGACACACGTTTCGAACTTGTTGTCTTGTTATCAATGTTAAAATGGAAGGGAAACAAATTGAGTTTTAGGAGTCTTAATGAGGACTCTATCGCGACCATTTTCATTGTTACCAGACGTGGAAACAAAATTTCTTGTTTATTCGATGCCTCTCAAACAACATGGTATTCATGTTTTGTAGTATAGTCATCGTCAAAATGGCAGCAGTAACTCCAGTTCCTTGCGAAATTCCGTGATCTGTATAAACAATGAGGACCGTGCGTCTCCAACGTCTCTCTCGACTAAGACCAAGGTAACAATGTGATACAGTAAATTCTCCTTAATTCGCGCTCAGATTGTACACAAAAAATGGACATAAAATTTGGGAAGAGGATATGCGATTATTCGAGTCTCGCGATTCGTTTTTATAATTACCGATTATCAAGAACTATAAAAACGAGCCACAAAACTCGAATAATCGTATTTCCTTTTCCCAAATTGTCCATTTTTTGTGTATAATCTGAGCGTCAATTAGGGAGAATTTACTGCAATTACTAATCAAAATGATAATTCAACTCTGTCCATGTACTATATATTATTTACACTATTGATATTATTATTATTATTATAAAGGGCGTTCCACCTAAAACAGGTCATTTATATTCTTTAATTCCTTATATAATTTGTTATTTATTAACGTTTGCAATTTGTAACTTCTGAATGTTATTTTTCAATGTTTCTTACAGAAGATGTAGCAATATAGCTGGATTAAATAATTAGATGGCCTGTTTTTGTGTACGTCAACTCTATTCGAAACACTTGTTACAGAAAATAATGTTCTGTTTTAAAGCAATCACGATCGGACAGGAGGATGAAGAACACCTTTGGATGGGCGAGGATCGATGTACTTACTATGCTTGTTTGCTGTGTTTTCCTTGCGTCTTTCTGCTTTTCCTTGTTGGTGGAAGCGCTGCAGACTCTGATCCACATAGATCATCTGGACGAAATGCATCATCCTATGCCTGTTTTGGCGATAGGCCTCTCCGGCATCCTTCTTAACGCGTTTTGTTACATATTGATCGGAGGGTACACCTTTAATCAAGGAATCGTCCTGCATGTTACAGTGAATGGGGACGTAATGTTCAGAAGGTAATCGAAATACGAAAGACGAACGGTTTCGTTCATACTAATATATTTTTAATTACGACTTTTTATACCCAAATATTTGTCATACAATTTAAATTGATCGAGTGACTATTTAATTGCAAAACCAGTATGCAAACAACCTTCATTAATTCTACGGTTTGGTCCAGCCCATTATTTCATTGCGTTTTCTATACGGTAATACTGTCGTTGCTCATGTGAAATGTTCGATGATGTTATCTGCTACCGTATCTCGATAACTGAAACATTCGAATGTGTTTCAACCCGATTAGATTACTCCAGCTTCTTATCAGTTAGTAAAATCATTAGAACAACCTTATTTTTTCTTGTCATTACTTCCAAGCAAGTGTTTCGATTTAGAACCATACTGTGGTTACTACATACGATATAATACGGACGTATGGTGTAAGATACAAAATTTCCTAGAATTTTTTTTATTATCCAGGATGAAGCGAAACGCATGTTGCAAGTTGATTAAAGAAAATTTTGTAGCTAAAAATAAATTATAGATTTCAAATGAGCTTCCTTTTTGTAAACATTAATTTGAAAACCAGTAGAGTATTCGAACTCTCAACTGATGTGTGATATTATTGATTTTGATAGGAATTGCTACGGTGATTATTTCGACACATAATAGAATGAGACTTTACTACTGAAATTGTTACATGAAGCTTCAATGTTATCAGTTCCTTCGAAACAAACCGTATCACATAATGCTGTAATGCAAGCGAATATAGATGTCCTTGCAAACTTGATTAATTGTCAAGTTCATGCTATAAACGAATGTGCGGACAACAAAAATCGATTCATTTATTTTACTATTTCACAATCACTCTTACAATTTCATCTTTGCAATTAACCACATTAGCTCCGTTATTATTATAATTACGCAACGAAACGTTTCCGAAGGAAGTGCAATGATAATAACCGTAGTGACATTCGCTTCTTTGCGATAAAGGAAAATGTTAATTATAACCATGATTCTGGGAAACGTTTCTGGTATAGAAACATGTAATAATAAGCACGGATGAGAATAAGTCGAAAAAATTCGAAGCAGTGATTTATGGAGTATCCTATTGTCCTCAAAATACCGAAGGAACAGATTCAATCTCTCGAATAAAACGATCCTCGGTTTGCTTTTTCGTTTCATAATCTCGTAGCATTCTTCCACCTCCATCCTCCCGATTAGCATATCGTATATTAGGATCTCCGCTTTCAGGACTTCTATTATCTGCTTTCAGAAATGTCAGTTCCGAGCCAGCGAAGGAAGGAGAACAGCTATCTTCCCAGACCAGGCGAAGTCCTTTGGGTATACCAAAGAGTCAAGGTTTTCGAGAAACCTGTCGGGATGTGCTCGGCTGTGTTTTTGTGATGCTGGTGTCCGTCCTGGTATACTTCACCGACTCCGACGTGGCCAAATATATCGACCCACTGTTCGCCATTATATCCTCCATCTCCCTTTTTGTTTTGAGCTACCCGTACTGTGAGTAGCTTCATTTTCTTCTCGAACATAATACTGGCTTTCGGTAACACGATCGATAATTACAGTGAAAGAATCGGGCCTGATTCTGCTTCAAACGATACCCAACCACATCAACATCGATTCCTTGAAAAGGGAATTACTGGAAGCCTTTCCAGGTATAGTGAACGTTCACGATTTGCATGTGTGGCAGTTGACGGGGCAGAAGATCATCTCTACCGTTCATATTATCTTCTTGGACCCTATGGTAAGGGTTTCTTGGAAAATAAAGTCTTAAAGGGTTGTACTACTGTAGCACGATGGGCTCGGTAATTTTTGAATGCAGATTATCAAAATATGATGTTGAACTGGTGAAAAAAATTGCTTCAGTTATTTTGAAGCTGCTGTAATGATTGAGAAAATAGGTAAATCTCTATGTAACTTTCGCTTTTGTGAAATTAATGAAGAAAATTGGCAATTTGCAAACAGATTCGTAGTCTAGTAAGAGAGATATCAACAAAGTTCTATCGAGAACGTGATACCGCTTGAAAAAGTGTCATTTCGAGACAAACGTGAATCAAGTGCGCTTCTCTCATTTGCATTGTAATCTTATAAATTTTATTTTCGAGACTTCTATGCTTTCGTTCAAGTCGAGAAAATGTTCGAATTATTTGTCTTTACAATGGTCTGACTCTTTAAGAATTTGTGTTTTAGAATGAAAAATTTGTGCTGAATTAAGAACCTGAAATGATTTTATTTTCTAGGTATATGCCAGTATTACCAATCAAGTGACGGAATTTTTCATTGAGATGGGTATCACGCAAGTGACCATTCAACCAGAATTCCATAAAGTATGTATGAAATATAATTCTATAATGAATGTGCGCATGTTTTGGTATCTATACAGGATGTCCAAAAATTTTGGTACTTCAAGGGAAATTAAGGGTTCCTAAGATCGTTTGAAGTAACCTTTTTCGAGCTCAGCTAGCGCAAGGTGGCCAAGCCAACGAGCAGCGGAAGTCCAGTTCCGCGGATTGGTTCGACTTACGCGAGCTCGCCTTTTATTGGTTAGTGTTTTTCGTTTTTTTTTTTTTTTACAAATCAATTACATTTACAAATCGCTAAGGAAAAAGTTACTTCAAATGACCTCAGGAACTTCTTGGAAATACTACAATTTCGGGATATCCTGTATAAAGCGTTCAAATATTAACGAGAATCACTGTAGTGTCTAGTCCACCTCTGTCGACATTAAATGTCTAGAGTTATTATAATCTGGGTTTTTTGCTTAAATAGATCAGGCCTAACAGGGAAAAAACAGGTTGTCTAATTCGCTGCCATGGCGAGCATTGCAGTTCCTCCCAATGCTGCTCTAAGGAAAAGTTCATGGAAGACTCGTGCTCGCACGTATCGACGGAACAAGTGCAATCGATAAACAAAAAATTGGAGAGGAAAGAAGTTGTTCCGACTCCGTTGGTGGTCGATTTGGAAGGATTTGTCGTCACTGGCGGCGAGGCAACTACTAAGGGGTATATGGTGGGCCGAATCGCTAGTCGATCGAACGATGGACAGACAGAAAATAACAAAGATGACGCGGAAGACAATCCTTACGCGATAACGGTGGACGTTAGTAACCAAACGTGCAGCACCAGTCGCAGTGCCGAGCCAGAGTCTTAACTTTAAGACAATAATTAGAGGAACAATTTTATTTTTACATCGCTATATATTTTTAACAAAAGATAATCGAATATCGAACGGACCACAGAGTAATAAGTTTGAACTGATATAATCGTAACTTTTCATCTAGTAACCTTTTATTGTTTATATCAAGGCTCGGAATTAATTGCACATGACAGAGCATTTACGGAGACTGCTCTTGAAATATGCTGCAGATCTTACAAATGGGATTAAATACCACTCTGCTGCACATTTCAGAGCAGTCTTCGAAAATGCTCTGTTGCCTGTCGTGTGCAGCTAATTCCGAGCCCTGCTTTATGTCACAATTGTAATATTCATTTCTGACTATGAAAATTAGTATTAACTAATATGGTTGCTACAAAAAATAATGGAAATGTCGATTGTTAATCTTAATTACCTGTTGTTAGTTCCTCGTTTTAGTCATTTTACGTCTAAACACTGTCTATAATTAGTCACGTTTTATCTTCGACGGAATACAACGGGACATAAAGTATTTTGTATTCTTTTTTTACACGAGAAACTATATTTTAACAAAGAAGACTGGAATGTGAAGTAAATACTTCAATAACTTGTACATACAAATAATACAAATAAGCTCAATTCTAAAAAGGTATTTTTAACAATTTAATACACACGATCAACATTTGATTTTCAATTATTCGTGCGGGAATTGTGTAGATAGACTGCGGATCTTGCAATCAATTGCAAATCTTTGCATCAATTGCAAAATGTAAAAGTTACATACAATGACTCCTGTTAATATTCGGACACTTTTCAAAACGCAATAACTTTTTTAAAACTAAGATAAACGATTTGAATTTCATTTAGATGATAGAGGGTCTAGTATACTAGGCTAGTATACTAGAAATTCAAGTCGTTTAGTTCAATTCTAAAAAAGTTATGATAAGTGAAAGGATAAGTGTCCGAATATTAACGGGAGTCACTGTAGAGAGTGTGTTGCTTCTTTTCTCAACTATCTTAATAAGTAGATATTAATATGACTGTATACTCAAATTCTACAATTCGTTTCACTNTAATGTATATTATACATATTTAATAATAAATCTATAGTCTAATGGTCTAATATATATTAGACTATTTATTATTAAATATATATAATAGACACTTTATAATTATATATGTATATTAGATAATTTATTGTTACACATGTATGTTAGACAATTCATAAATGTACATATATATGGAACAATTTATTGCTATACTGTTCGTGAACACTGAGGGTTCACGTGGCACACGTTTGACCCGGAGTAAATAATTCTTGTGTTTCAGCGAGGATACGGCATAGAAATAAAGGAAAAGATGTTTGGAAGGATTGATGTCTGTTCACAGTGAGAGACAGGAAACGGAAAGATCGCCGAGAGCGAATCAGGAGGATAAGTGAGAGGTGGTAGGAGTGCATTGAGCATGGAACTTCGGACATTTGAAGAACTTCGGAGCGTTCATTTGACTCCAAAGGCTTCTCGCGACTAACCTGCCTGCATTCATCAACCTTTCTCGTCAATCGTCTCTTCAAATTACTTTCTTCGGCTGAGCTGCTTCGGTAGCTTAATCCGGCCCCTGCTCTTTGCGTTACTCGAAGCACTCGACCGGAACCATCGAGATCTGTCGAGAAGTTCCAGCAATTACTTCGAGAATTGATGCTTTATATATTCGAGTCGTTTCGATTCTGGGATTCGTAACGAAAACTGTCCATAATTAAGCAAATAATTTGGTTCCGGAAAATTGGCTTGACTTATCGGCATATACATATAGCGACTCCTGTTAATATTCGGACACTTTTCAAAACGCAATAACTTTTTTAAAACTAAGATAAACGATTTGAATTTCATTTAGATGATAGAGGGTCTAGTATACTAGGCTAGTATACTAGAAATTCAAGTCGTTTAGTTCAATTCTAAAAAAGTTATGATAAGTGAAAGGATAAGTGTCCGAATATTAACGGGAGTCACTGTAGAGAGTGTGTTGCTTCTTTTCTCAACTATCTTAATAAGTAGATATTAATATGACTGTATACTCAAATTCTACAATTCGTTTCACTCTCGTGTTTCATCCACTCATTTCTATCATAATTGCATAAAATCCAGGGACTATGTATGAATAACATTCACTTCCAATATTATACACTTTTTATACAATTAATCAACTGAAAATGCGCATATCATTTGTTACAAATTAACCAAAAAGTGTCAACATTGAATGTATCTGTGGCGTTACGAATGTATAAAATGTAATAAATACTTCATTTTGTTGTATTACTATATTATTTGTCATTTGTATGACTCCAATGTGGCCTCAACTCGCATAACTTCCCCCGGATTTGCATTTTGAGCAAGAAATTCAATAATTTTGAATTTCACCATTTCAGATAACACATACAAGATTAGCAATCTCGTATGTTATGAATTGAGATCAACTTTTGAGGGAAGACGTCGTCGTCGATAAGTCATAGTCAGAAAATCGCTGGAGTGGGACCAACTCGTGGTGAGGCGACTCGTTCGTTCAGCTAGGAGAGCATAGAACGGTTGTGATCGTTGCTGAAGAGTGACGTTCTTTTAGAATCCGAGTGTACTTATTTGATATTGTTTCATCACGGAACCAAGGAAAAATGCTGTGCAACCACCGACGATTCTTCTTCATTGCTGTAATTCTTCTTTCGCATCTGTACAGAGGTAATTACGGCTTTATCTGATACCGATTCACCTGTGGCCCATGAAACGTTCGACGAGCAACGTCGGGGGATGTAGTCAACGTGTGATCGGTAGTCACACAAATTAAATGAATTTTGTTTCGGAGTCGGTACAAATCGACTATGTTCGTTAGCTGCTCAAAAAGATCTCCATTGACATTCCGTCATAGTAGACCTGGTTCTCGGATCTATAGATCATGTTTGCAAACGCTAGACCGCTCCGGTTTCTGCGATTCCGTGTCATTTATTCGTGCTTCGATTTCTTGATTCCCCGAAAAGCAGCCGGTTGTTTTGGAGCTTTCATTAACTACTCGGTTGCTAATGTTACGATGGGAATTATGCGCACGCTTGTCCTATTTTTAACGCTGGAATTACTGCAGAGATGACATGACTCGGTTTTTATTTCATACGAGGAAGATTGAGATTTTGCATAGTTGAATCAAAATGCTCGATTGATAGTTCTAATTTTCGAGAGTAACATGTGTGCGATGCTGCATTTCTGTGTCCATCTAAGCAACAATGCAGACAATTGAATATTATAACAAAATTAGTTATCAGAATATTGAAAATTGTTGAAGTTGTATTGTGACGCTAATAAGCTCCATATTGAGAACTATAGAGTGTGGAATTCATTGAGTAAATTCCGATAGAAATTGTAGATGTTGCACACAAAACAGTTTCTTCGCTTTTCTTCGTCAAAGATGTAGTTCTTAATCATTTACAAATAAATTTATAACGATTTGATATTGATGTTTGAGTATCATCCTATAAATAATGATATTCTACAATTTCAGATAAAGTAAATACAGTTATTGAGAGTTCCTAATTGTTCCTAATCTTGAAAATGCAGTTTCGAGAAAATCGGCTTTAAAATTGCAAATGGCGGTTCTTGTGGCCTGTGATTTGGTTGCATTCAGTCTTATAAATTCCGGAATTATCCAAACATTCAGACGAATTATTTGGAAATGTTCGCAAAGAATGGATCGGAAGAAATTCTTCCTGGATTTCATCACGATATGACTGAATAAAATTTCAGCATTTCTCAACTGCAAAATTTTCGATCTTTTCAATCCACGGTAGACACGATCCTTTCAATTAAAGTCATCGCTTCCTAATTCTACAGGGATAAGTCAACTCTGGGAAGCACTTCGTAATCGTTAAAATCTATTACAAATCTTCGATAAATCAGTACATAAATAGATAAATAGATAAGTTTCCAGAATACGCGCGTTTGGCGTCATGATCTCGAATATGAATAAAACATAAAACACATAAAAAATCGGGCCAAAAATGAGAGCCGTGGTGCGTCAGTCGGGCCAAATATAAACGTAACTAGTTAGGCTCGTATTAGACTAGGAGATACGTGTTTTGTGGTTTTTTGTTTTTCGTCATTTAATTGTTTTATTAGTAACTAAAGGAGGTGGCGCAGGAACCAGCTTGACGCGTGCTGCGATTTTTGCGATCTTTAATTGTTTACAGCTCATACGTAGGTTAACCGATTTTGGTGAAATTTTTAACATGCATATAACTTACTGAGATCTACAAAACACATTTTTTAAATTTTCGTTGTAGGCTGAGGTAAGAAAGTTAAAAAAACAAGAGCTTTTTATTTTCTTTTATCTTTCTAAGCAATAACAAAACCTTTATAAAAAGCACTCTAGTTATGATCTGGTAGACCATAAGGTCTAGTTATAGTTCCTACCATCTAAAAAAAATTCAAATTGTTTAGTCCAGTTCTAAAAAAGTTATTGCGTTTTGAAAAGTATCCGAATATTAGCGGGAGTCACTGTGTTTACATTCCGTAAGACGTGTGAGATTGGCATAACTTCAAACGTTTCGCGCAACCGTGAAAAGGCTCGGCGTATGACCGACCAAAACAGTTTTTAGTAGAAATGTTTACTTCACGTTTATTGCTACAAGGAAACCATAGAATGCCTCGATTTCTAATAAAGAAATGAACGACGGCTCCAGTAAAAAAATTCCCTGCTGCGAATTCATTTCTATACATACTTATTTGTCTCATGGAACGAGCCCATTAGCTAGCAATGCATTTGTGCTATCAATGAAGGAAAGAAGAGACTTCCTTCCTACAAACTATCGTATATACTCACAAAAAGGAAGCTGGCAAGATTTGTGGTTTTTTGCGGCGTACCATGAGCGGGAAAAATTCTTTGAGACCAAATCATTCGCAGGACATCCGCTGAGGATTCCATAGACATAATAATACAAAAGTGATATTTTATGATTATTATTTATGCACATTATTGGTGCATAATATTTTGTTTCGTTTAGGAACCGGTTTTACGATGAACGATTATTATGTACCCATTTCTGCAAGAAAATGACAAAATGATGAATGTTGAATGAAACCGGGTAATTATTTATTTTAGAGTGAGAGTTAGAGTTTTTACTTTGAAGCATCTCTAGATTTTCATATTCTATTCGCGAGTCATTTCCAGGGATTTATCCCGGTTTATTTGCAATCGCGCACGGAAATCGAATCCAGCACCCCCCCGTTTGGTAACCGATCGACTAGGTCACGCACGGAACCCTCCTAATTTCCCAATCTCCATACGTGTTATTATGGGAGGCTCCGGACTCCTTCGGTATCGTATCATTTCCCGATTATATCATGATTGTTATATTCCAATTTGTTGCAAATATTAATTTTTTGGACGCATTATTAGCTGCACGAATCTAAACATTTGGTTAGCCACGATATAGTGACATTGTTAGGATAATAATTGAACTTACTGTTGGTGTTATTATATGTTTAAACGTAATATTTTTTTCAATCTACAGTTTTACATTAAACGAAGTAAAAGTGCGTGTGAACCATCATTGTCTGAATCGTATTTGATGCGTATATTTTATTTACTTATTGTATTGTGCAAATGATTACATTTTGTCGTTGAGCGAACAAGTTTTTTTCTCTTATTCTCAGACTCGACAGCTCTAAAACCGAATATATTCCCGAAAACTGATCAGATCATTCAAAAAGAACACGATCCTTTGTGGCTACAATGCTCCGGCAAGTCGGATATTGTCTTCATGTATCCGACTAACTCAACAGAATTTGTAAGTAACGAAATAACAAGATCATGTTATCAATACGAAATAAAGAAAGTGATCGAAACATTTGCTTTAATAACAGTTTCATACATCGTCCATTGAAATACGCAAGAACCAATATGAAAATGGAACCTACATGTACCAGCTTATGCGACCGAATACCGTCTATGGTGATACTGGTTGGTATGGTTGTTCAGATCATTTCATTGAGATCTCCGCACGCAATTATTCCGACCCAGAAGTCGACTGGGTGTATGTTTATGTTGAATGTAAGTATATTTTGATTTCCATTGAACTGCAAAAGTTTTGCGTAAAAGTTATCCTAAATCGTAGTGTCAAACCAGGGAGACGCGTCACCTTCGCGTCTGTTAAATCAATGGAGATCATTGCAAATCCGAATGCTGCAATTTAGTAATTATGTTTTAGCTAAATCGCATCGGTTTGTGGAGGAATCGAAATTCCCTTTACGCGGTGTTCGAGGCGGGAACATAATCGTACCGTGTAGACCAACATCGCCGACTGCGCAAGTGAAGCTTACAAAGCACGGTCGAGTAGGTATTTGATCGATTAAAAAATATTACGAATTTCGTGAAGCGACATAATATTGAAGCTATGAAACGTTTGTGTCAAGTGGACTAAAAGAATAATATTCAATTGGCAGAAATTACGAAATCGCGAATGATTTATGTGAACTTGTATATGTGAAATATTAGAAAAGTTTGTAAGAACGATATTTTTTATGTGTCAAAGAAAAGATTGATTTGCGACGAAGGTAAATTGTTCTCTGTTCTATATAATTCTGTCGGCTTCGACGATTGATGATATGTACTATTAATAAATACAGTGGGTGTAGAAAGTATTCGTACAGCAATCAATTTCAACAAAAACATTATAAAACTTTGTTTATTACAAAAACGTGTTAACAAAAAAGATGTGTACATATTCTTTGAAATCTTCAAAACAAATGTCATATAAAAAAGAAATTGTTTAGTTATATTCTTTATGAAACTATTAACGAAACTCTTAAATATGGATGAAAATATACACGTAATAAGTATTCGTACAATTTCTGTTCCATGACGCTTTGATACAGTATACATGATAATTATCTGGTAATCTGTTTAATGTCAACATAAATATTATTAGTATATCTAGAGATTTTGTCCTAGAGACCTTAATATACGTAACGTTAGTAGTCATAAAATGGGACGAAAAGGAAAGGAAACGACTGAAAGTGAAAGAAAAATTATTATAAATCTGCATAATAAGTGCAAAACATTACGAGAGATTTCAGAAATTGTGAATAGACCGAAGTCTACAATTCAAGGCATCATTAACAGATATGGAAATCGAAAAACTTTAAGGAATAAAGCAAGGTGCAGACGTAAACAAGTAATAAATGAATACACCGGCCGATGGATATTTCGTAAAATAAAACAAAATCCAAAGATTAGTGCAGTAAAAATTGCAGCTGAACTTCGTACGGGATAGAGGATATCATGGTAGAATAGCTCGTAAGAAATATTTTGTAAACGAAACTAATAGAAAGAAATGACTGCAATTCGCAAAGGGATATGTAAACGTTCCAATGGAATATTGGAACCGTGTAATATTTAGTGATGAAAGTAAATTTAACATATTCGGATCAGATGGACGATGGACAGTATGGAGGACAAAAAATATCGAACATGAAAAAGAAAACTTGCATGCAACTGTAAAGCACGGCGGAGGATCGGTCACAGTTTGGGCCTGTATGAGTGCGAATGGGGATGGAACCTTCCATTTTATCGATGGTATCATGGACTATAAATTATACATTGATATTTTAAAAAAACATATCCAAGCTAGTGCAAATAAAATGCAACTACGAGACAACTATATCTTTTTACAAAACAATGATCCAAAGCATAATGCTTATAATATAAGACAATGTATCCTGTATAATGTACCACACCAGTTAAAAATCCCTCCGCAGTCAGACATAAACGTCATAGAGCACTTATGGAGTCATCTCGAAGACAAAATTCGAAATCACCATATTTCTTCAAAAAAAGATTTAAAAAATGCACTACTGCAAAAATGGAATAACATTTCTAGTACAATTACCAGAAAGTTACTAAAGTCAATGTCACGAAGGCTTATAGCGATTATACAATCTAAAGGAGATCCAACTAAATACTAGAATAATAAATAAGTTGATTTTTGTTATGTGTATGTATAAAAATTAAAAGACGTTGTTGTAAAGTTAGAACTGTACGAATATTTATTACGCATATATTTTCATTCGTATTTAAGAGTTTTGTTAATAGTTTCATAAAGGATATAAATAAACAATTTCTATTTCATATGACATTTGTTTTGAAGATTTCAAAGAATATGTACACATCTTTTTTGTTAACATGTTTTTGTAATAAACAAAGTTCTATAATGTTTCTGTTGAAATTGATTGTTGTACGAATACTTTCTACACTCACTGTAAATTGTGCAGGTTCCCGAAGATAGGTTTTCGTTCGATCCAAAATTTGGATTCACATTGTACAACGTTATGCCGCGTAACGAAGGTTATTACGTATGCCACATCGCTCCTGATCAAAGAAGGACTTACCGTATAGACGTTTCGGGTGAGTACGCGTGCTAAACGATATTCATCTCAGTTTATACAGGGTGTCCCAAAATCATGGTATTTTCGGGAAATGAGGAGTTCCTGAGGTCATTTGAAGTAACTTTTTCCTTAGCGAAAATGTAATCCGTGGCTTCGTTTACGAGTTATTAACGAAAAACAATGACCAATGAGGGGCGAGCTCGGCTGGCGCAAGTCGGTTAGCCGAGCCAACGAGCGGACGATGCCCAGTTCCGTTCATTGGCTCGGTCACCTCGCGTCAGCTGACCTCGCCTCTCATTGGTCACTGTTTTCTTATTAATAACTCGTAAACAACGCCACGGATTGCATTTTCACTAAGGAAAAAGTTATTTCAAATGTGACCTCAGCAAACCTACATTTCCCGGAAATACCATAATTTTGGGACACTCTGTATTTACAAAAGATCCACAGTATTTTTTACTAACTTGCGATTCTTTAATTTAGCGATGTTGACACTGAAGGTGCCAAGGATTATCAATGATACTTTGCGGCACGTAACAAAAGGCGAAACTCTATACGTGAACTGTACCACAACTATTCGGAAGAACGTGGACCATGTCTTCACTTGGATTCCTCCGCGAAAAGTACCGATCTTGACATACAAGTTAACATTCTCGTCATCCACCCCGATCGAGTAGAATTCAACGTAGCGATTTGTTATTTTAGAGCAACAGGATCACTATCCGTGACCATACAGAAAATAGTGGAAGTAACAATAAGATCACCACCGAATTAATCATCAAGAACGTGACCTTCAAAGACGCAGGTGTCTACGAGTGTAAGATCGCGGACTTCAATACTGAGCAAAAATCGAAGACGAATATCACGGTGTATGGTAAGCACGATGATTCGTGTGAAACGTGTTTATAGTAATCGGAGCGTCAATTAATTGATCCTTCTCGTGACAAATGTCTGAAAATAATTCTTAGGATTTGCAGGATGTAAAAGAGTTGAAGAAGTAGTTTAGCCGCTGTGCTAAATTTTTTATGCGATTTTTTAGAATAGACAACGTCGAGTAACATGTCACAGAGACAGCAGAAATATTAAGCAAACTTTGAGAATTGACATTGAATTTTTGTTTTATTTTTTGTTTAAATAACTTTTAAAGACTTATGATACTCTAATGACATTTATTACCATTATCTATATTTTAACTTGTTGCCAGTGGCGGATTAACCTCAAGACGCATGAGTCGTGTGTCTGGGGTCCCCGTCGCGAAGGGGCTCCTGAAAGATGAGTAAAAATTGGCAAAATGTGCATTTTATGTTTATTTTAGATTTATTTTAAAAAGACGAAAAAGGTATAGCACAACACAAGACGCAACGAGCTGTCAATCAGGAGACCATCAAAAATCGTTATTTTGCTTTTCGTGTAATTGCTTTGAATTAAGGAAAGATGCAATTAAGGAGCGATGTAATTTTTAATACGTTTAGTGGCGTGTGAGTCACGTGTGAATGATTCATTTTTATTGTAATATATTGAACAAATTGAATATTACTAGGATTTGTAGAATACAAAATAGCTGAATCAATATTTTCTATGGTAAATTTTCACTTTCTAGTTTCGGTGTCATTAATTAAATGACTTTGATATTGTGTGAATTTTTCGAGTTAATATTCGGCACTTAATGTGTTAAAGAAATAGTTATATCATTGTGTACATATCTTACTACCCCACTCATGTAATCTTATTATCTAAATCTTATTGAGAAATTGTCGAACAGATGGCACCAAAAATTTCAGAAAGAACCACGCATTTAAAAGAAGAATTAAAAAGAATAAAAAAGAAATATTAATACGCTTATCATACGTTATTATAAAACAAAATGGATATCTCACACAGTATTAGTATCTATGATAAATTATTGTAAAGTATAAATCGAACAAGTAAATTATTACAAGATATTAATCTAATTTGTTAAATGGAACTAAATTACTTAATTAATTGTCAAAATGTATGAACGATGCGAGCAATAATTTTGAAGTTACAGAAAATGCTGCAAATTTGCTATCAGAAAATACAAACTATAAAGAAAATAGACGGTAAAAGAAGAAAATTACAATTTGATGAAACTGAAGGAATTGTTAATGTATATCATGTCATATTTGACACTCTTTTCCAAGAAATACAAAAAAGGAAAAAAGTTTATAACGACGAACTGGAAGATTTTCAAATATTTTTCGACTTTAATCTAAAAGAAGAAGAAATAAATTGCAAAATCGAGAATTTGAAGAATATTTACCATAAAGATATCGATACAGAACAGTTTCTATATGAAATTCACCATTTTTTAAAGTATCAGAAAGAAGATATTAAACCCCGAAGATATGTACAAATTTATACTCAATGGACTTGAAACCACATTCTCTAACGTGAAAACAGTTTTAAAAATATTTATTACCATACCAATTTTTAATGCGAGTGGAGGAAGATCATTCTCCGCTTTAAATGATTTGGCTCTGATCTTCATAAAAAATGATGTACGAAGAAATTGTCAATAAGTTTTCAAAGCAAAAGTCCAGAAAAGCTGTTACTTAAATTAATAAAATTCTAAAGTTTAATTTTTTTGTATTAGGTATTTTTTCATTTTAAAGCAAAACCTTTTTAATAATCGTTTTATTTGTCATAGCATGTCATAGCATATTAGGGGTCGCAATTTTGTATTGCGCCTCGGACCCCAGTACACCTTAATCCACCACTGCTTCCGAAAATTGCTATAACTTTGAGATAAGAGCAAATATAGCGCTTTTTCATTTTATTTGATTCAATTGGAATTATTATTAAATAATTATAGAACGGATATTGTATGTCTTTTGCATAAGATCTATATCATTTTCCATAATTTCTGCTTATTAAATGTTTAGAGTGGATCGATCCATACATCGTCCTAACATCTCAAGATCCTAACAGGCACTATCAAGGTCATAGGTATAAGGAAGCGCAGTGGGTTGTGGACGTCGACGCGTATCCTCTGCCTGAACTAAAATGGTATGTCGAAATTGTTTAAATAAAATCATTTTATATATTTAGAGCATTTTGCGGGAATGAAAAATCGCTAATTACGGTATATATGTAACGCCTTAATAAATAACGCTTTAATAACTGACCACATGCCAACGAATTATTGCAGATGAAAAGTTAAAAAACTGAACGAAGAAGTGAAGCTAACGCAATAATTCGAGCCATGTGTAACAATTTAGAACTTAAATTATTTAGGACTTACTTACATTACTCTTGTACGTTTAATAACGCGTCTTAACACTGAAAGGTAAAAACCACCCAAACTCCAAGCGATTATGATTCTTCTCCGGTATATATATCACCACCGATCACGAATACAAATACGAATTTTCGAAAAAGTGTTCTATCATGCTTGATATAAAAGCTAAGGCCATACCCAGTGCAACATAGACTACACATATCACCACATCCCAATTACAACAACACAATCACGTAATATATAGTTATAAATGAGGTTTGTTAAATAATCTGAAACAGTCTTAAGCTTGGAGTGACAATTGAAAAATAAAATAAAAAAGAGAAGATACATTTGATAAATGATATCCCAGTCGGTATGTATTCCAAACAGACGCGCGAGTGCAACATACGTGCGCAACACTATTTTCAGGAACAGACATTGCTGTTTAAAAGCAAACGCGATTAGTGTATCCCCTATCGCGGCGCTAATTTATTTCATTCAGAACGGAAAACTCCCGTGCATTTTCACTTTTGTCTACGCAACACTAAATGGAAACGCGAAGGACCGTTGAATTTACAGTGAATCATCATCCCTGCATACTTTTATACCCGTAATTCCATTTTAATTTCATCGAACAGTTTCATTACGATACCGAGCAGGAGAATTACAATTATATTTTACATGCAAAGAGGAAATCGAAGTGAAAGGGGTAAAGAAACGCGGACTTATTTTTCGCAACGCTAGAACGCTTCTCGTAGAAACGAGATTTAGAGTTAGATCTCTAAATAGCAACGCGAGCAATGCATTGATAATCTCGATGTTAATTTGTTCGATTCGAAGTTGAAAATTCCCTTGCACTTTGACCTGTTTCCACCCAATGCTAAAGGGAGTTTACTGTACATGGGCAGTTAATAATACCACCCATTTAAACATCCAACTCTGGATAGTTGTTTCTTCTAGATGGACTGCAAATTTTATACGTTTGTGATGGAAATAAGTAGACGAAACAGAAAACTTCATGAACTCGATTACATTATTTCCGTGCCGTTCCTGCTTTATACTAATCGATATCGAAAACGTTTACTTTGTACAAAGATCCGTAGCCTACTTATGCTTCCTCGATGTCTCGATATTCAAAATTTCGTTTCGTAGGTTGAATAGAAACGGCGACGAAATTACAACGGGTTCGTCGACGACTGAGGAATCCAAATTTTCAGTTAACGTCACCTGTTGTAAGCCAATATTGAGAATCAACAATTTAGATTTCGATGACATGGGACTATATTCCATTCAAGCCAAAACTAAGTACGAAACGAAAACATTGAACTTTACGTTAGATGTAATAGGTACGCTATTTTCACTGTTTATAAACGAAATATGAAGGATATTAACACTAGATTTACGGAACCCGTCAAAATGACGGATCACTGACTTTTTAATTTGCGATTATTCATATCGTAAAGATACATTTATGAGTTATCTATTCAATTTATATGTTACTTCAGGCAAATGTTACAATAACACTTATTAAAAATCAGAATAAATGTCTTATTGTTACCTTTATAAACTAATATAAAACAGCTGTTCTTTGTGCTCCGTAAATCTAGTGTTAGTCGGAGTCATCTGTATTGATTCGATGACAGTCCAGTTTTACCGAAATGTGTCTTTCAGATCAGCCGATGGTGGATATAAAGAATCCGAGCTCGTATTATTTACCTAATCAGGTGGCAAAGATTGAATGCTACGTGGAAACATTCCCGGTGCCAAATATTACCTGGAGTTACCGCAAGTGTCCCAATTTTCCTCTTTGCGAGAATGATACCGCCGAGCACTTAACGGTACGCAATGTTTTAACTTTCAACACCGAGCCTACCGAACACGGAATGTGACTAGCACAAGTTGCTTCATAATGATGATAAAACAGAATGTATTTAAGATATTGATTCAGTCATTGTCTGTGAAAAAATCTTCATAATTTCAACAACTTCTGAATGAAAAATGTGACATCGGTGGTTTAGTGTTAATTTATGTAAGAGTTTAAATAAATCAAGCGATATTCATGCAGAACTCCACCGAAGAAAACGAAACAATGACTTCCATGGTCTCTACAGTGTTGACGGCCATTGAAATGTCCGGTCAACTTACCTGCAGCGCGTGCAACATTGTTGGCTGCGGAAATGTCTCCAAAACTGTGATGGTTTCCGGTAAGAACGGGAAATACTGTTTGTCATAAATTGTCTCGTTGAATGTTCATTAAATATGCTATCGGGGAGCTAACCGAATTTTAAAATATTTCAGATGTAGCTGAGGGATTCGGTGTAATATCCACGGAGGACCTAGTGGTAGAGGGCGACGATTGGGTGCTGATATGCGCTGCTTCGATCTACAATTATTCAGATATTCTTGAATGGAGCAGTCAAGGTGGTCCAATTGAACAACATGGTAATACTATTTATGGTATTCACACTAAAAGCGAGTAATGCTCAATGAGAGATTGAACGAACCAAAAATAATTTGTTTAAATTTCTAGACAGAATCTCGATCGATCGAGGGGAGACACGATTCACGTATAGATCGATTTTGAAAATACGCAACGTGAAAATGGAGGATTCTCAGGAATATATTTGTACAGGGAAGTCCACGGGAAATATATCTCAGTCTACCGAATATCGCCTGGAAGTAAAGGGTATTTTTAAACGTAGATTCCTAAAAAGTTTGAATGATGAATTTGTTGAATAATATTATTCTCTTCATTAGCTACACGAGCGCCAATTTTTACCGACACCAATTTGAATAAAGAAAACATGATCGTTGACAAGAAAGTATATCTCAAATGTTTCGCAGACGGTATGCCTAAACCGAACATCACTTGGTTTAAGGTAGGCGATTGGCAGTTAATTAATTACTAAATCAGGTCAATATTTTATTATATACAGTCGCCTCGAAAAGTATGTTAACGCCATTTCAATCGGAATAACTTTTTTTAAGTTGGTTCAAAGGATTTAATTATTCTTGAGATGCTAGACCGACTAGTTTTCTATGGAATGAGTATACAAAAACTTTTTTTTAGATTGGAATTGATAGGAGTGATAAAAAAATTAAAACATTGTTTTTTCAACTTGTTTATGTGAGCCCACAACAAAAATGAAAAAAATGCATTTTGTAGATCTCGGTAATTTATATGCATGCTGAAAATTTCATCAGAATCGCTTGACCTTGATACGTGTTGTAAGCAATTAAGGATCGCTAAAATCGCAGTTTTTCACGGATTTTAAGCAAAACATTTTACATCTTTCAGTGGCTGTAGCTTGACTATGCGTCAACCGATTTCGATGAAATTTTCAGCATGCATATTTTAAATTTTCATTATGAGCTCACATAAAATGGTTGGAAAAAAACATAATTTTTTAATTTTGTTATCATTCCAACGTGTCGCAATCTAAAAAACTCTTTAAAAAGTTATTCCGATTGAAAAGGCGTTAACGTTCTTTCCGAGGCTACTGTATATCTTATTTAATATTCTACTATTTTAATACATTATTTTGCTCGGAAATTTATTTCGATGCAAATTATACAACGTCGGCATACTTTTGACAGGACGGTACACAGTTGACATCTAATGAACGATATAAGATTTATAAAAAAGACCAAGCACTTGAAATACAATATCCAGAGGAAAGTGACAGTGGCGAGTACATGTGTCGAGTGCAGAATCGTATTGGAAAAGTGGAAGCTCGTCAACGGGTAACGATAAAAGGTAATTTGAGAAGTGTAGGTGCAGTAGTAACAATTTGTCTTTAATCTTCTTTTAATTGACAGGGAAAGGAGTACCGGTAGGTCTGATCATTTTAGTTGCCATGTTAGCAGTTGTCGTTGTGATACTGGTGATCTACTTCTTCATCAAGGTTCGCCGTGAAAGGGTGAGCTCAGTTCGTGGTATTACGCGGTGCCATTTGATTCCACAACATCATCAATTTCTATGGCGTTGCAGATACTGAGGAGGGAATTAATGGAAGCTGGTCTAATGCATTTCGAGAAAGGTGCTGTCGAGTGTTTGAATCCAGAGTTGACAGTAGACGATCAAGCAGAGCTCCTCCCTTACGACAACAAATGGGAATTTCCCAGGGAAAAATTGAAGTTAGGTCAGCTAATTCGATTAAAAATTTTTTCTTGACATTTTCCGCTGGAAAGAAGTTCACTCTAATCCACAGTGTAGTAAAATCTGTCTTCAGATTTATACTTTTCAAAATATATCAAAATTTGTCCATTGAAGTTGGTGTGTTAAATCTGCTCCCTTAAATATTGCTTGAACATGTTCAACTAGTACGAATGTTATCAAAAAAATATTTCGGAGTATGTTATACTCGGGAAAGTCTACAGAATCTTCGTATGGTTGAAAGTTCGACATTTTTTCCTGTGATGAGAAAAATGGCTTCAGGATTTGTTTTTGAGCTTTTGGTCTATAAGAATCACCTGCTGCCTACAAAAAGACGAATAAAAAATGTTAGTCGAACGGTGTAGGTTTTTCTAAAAAAATTTTTGTTATAAGTATATGGTAACGCTTTGCAGGAAGACAATTGGGAAGCGGTGCGTTCGGTGTAGTCTTGAAAGGGGAAGCTCAAGGGATTTGTAGGGGAGAGGCGGTTACTACTGTAGCCGTGAAAATGGTACGCCGTACTACGAATGTCACGTATGTTCGGGCGCTTAGCAGCGAATTGAAGATCTTGGTACATCTTGGCAAACATCTAAACGTTGTCAACCTTCTTGGTGCTTGCACAAAAAATATCTTGAAACGTACGTCTTCTACCTATTAATTAATTTAGAGCACGCTGGTGCCTAAAGTACCATTTTTCATATAAACTAGTACCCACTTCCAAAGTGCCAATATTCATGTAAAATTGATTAATCACCATTTTGAGGCACATTTTTCTATTTTCTATAAATTATAACTACCTTAACTCGCTTTTACAACGTTTTGTTGCTTCATTTTGTACCTTGAGAATTGAGATTTCTGTTGATTCTCCAGGTGAATTGTTAGTGATCGTAGAATACTGCCAATTTGGAAATTTACATAATTACTTATTGAGGCATAGAAGCAGTTTCATTAATCAGATCGATCCAGCAACTGGCAAATTTGATCTCAGTATCGGCCACGATCTACTCACGAGAACTAGCAGTGTGGGCAGCACTAACAGGTTCGTTCCTATACTTTTTCCTTCATACTTCATATCATTATTGATTCATAAAATGTTATGTCGTTTGCTGGTGTCTTTTAAATTATAATCCTCTATTTCAAACCGCATTGAATACAATTAACACTTGATGAAGTAAATTTTTTAAAATAAAACAGGAATTTTGTTTACTATTGAAAAAACATACCATTGTATACAATTTTTTTAATTGCGTAAGGATTATAAATTAACTGGTTCAAATTTGGCTACGTAAGTCTTTCGGTGTCAACGAAATATTTTGGCGGAACAGAAGTGTTGAAGAAATTCTCCTGCATCTATATGCTATAAATACAAATTACTTTAATATTGTAAATATCGGGCATGAATTCTATTGCTTTTCCTATAAGATATAATAATATAAAATCCGGTATGAATCATCGGCAGCTGAAAATATAAAATTGGCGCCATTTTTGAAAAGTGGCGTTCCTTGCGGTGGAATCTCGAAGCTCACTTTGAGGTTCGTACAGCGCCAATTTGGCTAGTGGCAAAATGCTCAAACTGTTAGCCAAATTACAGCCTGTTGGTTTTGCATAACAGTTTCATCGTTTTGACACTACATCAATTGGCGCTGTATGAACCTCGAACGAAGTTTCCAGATTTCGCCGCAAGAATCGCCACTTGTCACAAATGGCGTCATTACTATATTTTCAAACGCGGATGATTGGTATCGAATTTTGCAGCGAATCGTATTATAAAATTTTCCTTGTTTTCAAGAATAAATCAACTCTTTCTGCGTAATATAGATGCACATCTTCGCATCTCCAAAATGTGTTTAAGTGGTTAAATTTTCCTGATAAAACGGATTCAAGTAGAATAGAATTCCGTTTATCCGACATGTACTGATTCATAACACTGCCCGACAAAATCAAACTTTCTTTCTGGGTTCCTATAGCCACTATAAAATTCTTGTAGAGCTTCACTTCCTGAACAAGAATCCGAAAACCGAATTGCTCCATCACCCTCAGTTTTTTAAATAAACGAAGTTTTGTAAAAACCCAAAATTTTCGAAAAAATGAGGTGCTGCATGAAAAGTAAAAACGTTAGAAAGTTCTAATTAGTGTTAAAAGATAGAGGAGAGTTTCCCGAATATAGTGGCATGCAATTTATTAATTGTTTTTGGTCCTAAATAGCAATAGATTGATGTCAAAGCTTAAAAAAGTGTCGACGTGCGCAGTTTCTTCGCAATATTTTTGTATTTGCCCAGGATCGGATTCTGTAGACATTTCTGAAGAAGAAACGGCCCGGTAAATGTGTCGGAACGATATACATTTCGAGTAGATCGAGAAAATGTTCGATGGCAACATGTACACGACGTTTTGTCGCCATGAGCTTCGCTGCTAGCTTCTCTCTGTCCGACAGGGCCGAAGCTACGCGTAATCAACACCGATGGAGGGATCCAATGGGGCACCCACTTTTCGAAAATAATATTTGAATTTTTTTTAGTACTTCAATGTTGTGTTTTTTACATTTTTCTGTAGATAATAATCACCAAACTATGATATATTTCCCCCAAAAAATCACACCAGAGTATTCGGAGTTAGTAACGCGAAAGTATTCTAACACTAGTATAATTTTGACTTCTACGCCGTATAATTAAATAAATATTTAAATATATATTTAACGATATGTTTCAAGAAGTTTAACGTTTTGAAAATGATTATTTATTCATGATCGTATTATCGTTATAATTGAAATGATAACTGTATACATAATATACTCGTAATTCGAACAAATTCAGAATAAAATGAATATTTTTTGTTCATTATTTTTCTATTATTTCTCCATTTTTAATTTATGATTCACAGTTTGGTGAAAAAAAAAAATATGTAAAAGAAGACAGCACATTGAAGTACTAAAAAAAATGGCACATCCCACACGTGCGTAATCAACGGTGGTAATCAACGGTGTTGATTACCCATAGCTTCGGCCCTGTCGGACAGAGAGAAGCGTGCAGCGAAGCACATGGCGGCAAAACATCGTGTACATGTTGCCGACGAACATTTTCTCGACCTACTCAAAATGTACATCGTTTTGACATTTCTATCGGGCTGTTTCTTCTTCAGAAATGTCTACAGAATCCGATCCTGGGTAGAGTTTTCGTGTTGAACAAAGAACTTTTCGTAGAAATACAAAAATATTGTGAAGAAACTGCGCACGTCGACGCTTTTTTAAACTTTGACATCAATTTGTTGCTATTTAGGACCAAAAACAATTAATAAATTGCATGCCACTGTATTCGGGAAACTCTTCTCTATCTTTTAACACCAATTAGAACTTTCTAACGTTTTTACTTTTCATGCAACACCTCATTTTTGTCGAAAATTTGGGGTTTTTACAAAAGTTCGTTTATTTAAAAAACTAAGGGTGATGGAGCAATTCGGTTTTTGGATTCTTGTTCAGGGAGTGAAGCTCTACAAGAATTTCATAGTAGCTATAGGAACCCAAAAATCGTGTCGAACAGTGTAATTGATATTGATTGAAAACTGACCAGCAGAGGAATCGAACTACAGTTAGATCATTTAATCGAACACAGCCGAATAATCGGAACTCTACTCTACGTACATTGTACCTATATGTGCACATGATCTATTCTGTACTTATCGTTTTCCGAGTAATGCTGAAAATAGGCAGGTAGCAATACCATTTCATGCATAGAGATGCAACTATTTGATATCTTTTATTATCACGATAAAACTATCGATGCATGTAACAGGTTGCAGTGTTAACTGTCTTTTGCTTTTTTTCTGTTTGCACAGTAGGGTGAAGTACGCGAACTTGTCGTTTTCTCGCAGTATTAGCTGTAATTCGGAATCTGATTCGGTGCAGTTCCACCCCATCGATTCTCAGGGTATCAGTATGTCTCCAGATGGTCCCATAATTAGTAACGGTTCCACTCAACCTGGATGGTTTAGCTATCGGGGAGACTACAAGGACCATAATTTAAAACCAATTTGCTCACAGGATTTGTTATCCTGGGCATTCCAAGTAGCTCGTGGAATGGAATATCTCAGCCAGAGAAGGGTGAGTTTCAACGATTTCTTTTCTCAGATAATTCTAACAGCAGGATTATGGAAAAATTTCTGTTTCTAATCCAGAAATTTCATTCAGCGAATAAAAAATGAAAGTATTAGTCATTTTTGATACTATTTTACGTTGCCTTGTGAACATATTACCGTAACATCCGCAATCTATTTATAATCGAACAGGGAACAAGAATTTTTTAAAAATATCATTTGAATTGGAGATAAGTTGCTGAATAAATTTCTCAACGCATATCTTGTTACCTAAAAATGAATTTGCAGGTACTGCACGGTGATCTGGCCGCTAGAAATATTCTCCTGGCCGATGACAATATTGTGAAGATATGCGACTTCGGTCTGGGGAAGACCTTGTACAAAGAAGACAATTATCAAAAGAAATGTGACGGTCCATTACCAATTAAGTGGTTGGCCATCGAATCGATCAGAGATCGAGTTTTCTCCACACAATCGGACATTTGGTCGTTCGGTATAGTTCTGTGGGAGTTCTTCACGCTGGCCGAGACTCCGTATCCCGGAATGGAGGCGGAAATACAGTACCAGAAGCTGATCGAGGGTTACAGATTGGAGCAGCCCGAATATGCCACCCCCGAAGTGTAAGTTCATCCGAGATTTTTTATTTGGAAATAAATCGGGAGTATTCTCTTTTAATGATAATCTGAAACAAATTGACTTCGTCGAGTTTTCAAAACTTGTTTCCCGAAAATACTTTTTAGACGGCGAACAGAATATAAATTTTCAAATCTTTTCTATGACATGGTCAACTGCAGCGTACACTGATCACAGATTTCGTGTAATTTAAAATCGATGGCTTATAATTTGCAATTTTTATTTCTAGGTATAACCTAATGCGTCAGTGTTGGAAGGCCAAGCCTACTCTACGTCCGAGTTTCACGGAGGTAGTCGACAGTATAGGAAACTTGTTGGAGGATAGCGTAAAGTCGGCAAGTTTATTGAATGATCTTCAAAGATCGACATACATACTTAGATCATTGAAATTATCTTGGACACAAAACACGTTTTCGAATAATCCATATTTTATTAGATAATCAGAGACGATGGTTGTTCCAAGGTCATAAAAACGTGACCTCGGAAAATCTATGAAGTGTCGTGATAATTGAAAAAGATATTTAGGTGGCATCACTTTGCTGAGACACCCTACGTTTGCTTAATTAATTCTAGGTGACTCAATTATATTTAAAATTGGTAATTTCAGCACTACATCCAATTAAATGCCCCGTACCTGGACATGAACACGATTCAGCTCGAGAACGGAAAGGACGATTATCTGACGATGTTGTCTGCTCCTGACCATGTCCAACTGTCTTCACCGGGTCAAGACTACGTCAATTCGCCTGCATCTGGGGCCGGGGTGAACTCCGGCTACTTGTCCATGAGTTCCCGAAACCAAAATACAGAGTCAGGAATATTCAGTCCTAGGCCCCATCAGGAACGGACCCATTTCGATTTTCCATCCCCGATGGCCGACTTGGAGGACGGCATAGAGATGACACATATACTGAAGAAGGAACGGGGTGATCCCTGTCTGAAGTCCATCAATGACCCCGAGCGTAGGACAGAGGTTGCCAGAAACAGACAGACGACAAAGAATCAGTTGGAGGATCCAGCTCGGGATCTCGGTTATTGCAACATGCCGAAGAATTTAGAGCTGATTGATCTGAAGAAAAAGAACGACGAGATCGCGGCAAAAACGGAGGCGAATTCGAATTCGACGGCCAAGATTGGCTTAGCTCCGTCGATCATTAGGACTCAGGACAATTATTTGAACATGATTCAGCAGAAGAGTGACAAGAAGAAAGACTTGCCTGACGGATTCAGCAATCCTAGTTATGTGATCATGAGTAAGTGAGGGGCGATTCGAACCGGGACCTCAAAAGTGTTTGAAAACTTCTGTTCCAGAAAGTAATCCGGTTGAAAGTGCCTTTCGATTGTGCGATTATCGTCTGCGTGCGTCTGTGTGCTTGAATTTGCGTGATGGCAGGGTAAATATAGTGTACATTGTATTAAAATTCATGGCTTCCGCATGGATGCTGCATTTCACATTCAGCGTGATGCCGATGTTGTTCAAAAGTTGCAGTTTGCATGTTCAGGGATAGGGAGTTCTGATGCTGGAACTCCTGATATTTTTATTACAAATTCAGATTGTAATAGCTTTAAATAGAGATAAATTTAACTATAATAGATTTTTTATATAAAATTAAAAATTATAATAGTTTTTTGACAGTTTGGATTATAATAAATTTTTGTAGAAATTTAAATACAAATTTTAATTGTAATGAAATTTTGATAGAAAATGAAATTAAGTGATTTTAGATAAGAGTAAGGTTAATTATAATAAATTTTTAATAGAAATTTAGATTGTAATGATGATTGTGATAACTAAGATTTTGCAAATTTTCTGTCGCAATAAATAAATAAGCAACCGCGGAAATTGATTAACTACGTAACTACGTAATGTAACTAATATTTCAAAAAAAGTTTGTTTGCCAAATTCTGTATTACATGAAATCATAAAAATATTTATAGTCTATTTGTCTATTTACTATTCTAAAAATATATTTTTCTTTATTCCTGCTGTGAAGTAAATAGTTTAAATGCGAATAATATGATGTAAAATTGTATAGCTCTACTTTTGCAAATGAGGTTTTGATATTTATAAAGTAATATGTTGTTATAATTATAGATATGACATGACATCGGTTGTGTAATCTCTTTTGAATTTTCAGCTACAAACATCGCCTCGATAATTCCACGATCTGGAAGGTTTCGAATTTTACCAGATACATAGTATCTATTAGGTTGTTGCAAATATAATTTCGGTTTTCCAAATAGATAGCTTACAAAAGAAACCTAAATTACTTTTGTAACAACTTAATATCACACACTTAGAATCCGTACAAACATTGCATGTAATGCTAGGACTATAAATATTTTCCGGATCGAGAAATGCAGTGACATTTTCTTATAACACTTGAACCATTGGAAGTATTATAATGAAATTTTTACTGAAAATATTTAAAAAATAATCATTCTTAACTTTAGGTAATTAAATATTTTTTGTATATGTTGACCAATAATTTTTAATTAATTTTTATTTTTTTAATAAAAAAATTGTTTAAATATAATTTTACGAACTATCTTTTATTTTCTAAACGTGTATTTTATATGTATGTAAAATATAAAAGCGAGTAATCTTTTTGTAACCAACAAAAATTATCGTATACAAGGTGTTCCACAATTATTTTAACAGCCGAAAATGAGGGGTAGCTGAGGTCATTTGAAACAACTTTTTTCTTTGCGAAAATGCAATCTGCGACTTTGTTTATGAGTTATTAACGAAAAACACTGACCAATGAGAGGTGACGGCGCGAAGTTTGAGTGCCCGCAGCACGAGGCTTTGACAGAAGATCGGGACGGACTCGAGCCGTGTTCGAAGTATTGAACAAGTCACGAAGCGAGAAAATTACGGAGTTTTTTTACTACGTAACAGTGATATTTTTAACAAAAACGCTGTTCACCTTTATTTTAGAACGTCTGAAGAATATTTACTAATATTTCGGGCCCGAAATAATATGTAGTTTAACCGTGACAGCCGTTCTAATTTTCTGATGTGTATGACATCTCATGTGTACCATATGAAATTTTTATGCAAGGAGTACAGTGAAGATTAACAAAGTTCGTAAGTGATATTTTAATTTAAATAATTCCGTGTCCGAACAGAATTCAACGAATGATTTGCAAAGCTGATTTAATAATAAATAATCGTGCAGGGACGTAAAGGATTTGTTTATTAGAGAAATATAAAAAATATTATCAATAAGAATCTCACCCATTTAGTTGCGGCAGCATTTGCTGACTGGAATTGTGGTTCACTATGTCGAAGGGCACTGACCTCGTACAATGTACGACTGAGACGCGTTCGCGGATAATCGTTTATCCGACGCGCCCGTTCGGCAGTCGACGTTTCACTGCCAAAAATGCCAATATAACCAACCAACCAAACAAACAAACCAATCAACCGAACCGAAACGAAACGAAACGAAACGAAACGAGACGAAACGAAACGAGACGAAACGAAACGAGACGAAACGAAACGAAACGAGACGAAACGAAACGAAACGAAACGGAACGGAACGGAACGGAACGGAACGGAACGAAACGAAACGAAACGAAACGAACAAACAGTTCGTTCGTTTGTTTGTTTGGTTGATTGATTGGCTTGTTTGTCTGGATTGTTTGTTTGGTTATTTCATTGGTTTATTCGTTTGTTTGCTTGTTTGGTTGTTTGATTGGTTTGTTTGTTTGTTAGTTTGTAGGTTTGTTGGTTTGTTGGTTTGTTGGATTGTTGGTTTGTTGGTTTGTTGGTTTGTTGGTTTGTTGGTTTGTTGGTTTGTTAGTTTCAAATTCATGAGAAGCACGTGATTTAGCTCCAAATTCATGCGAAGCACATGATTTAGATTCAAATTCATGCGAAGTAGAAGGTGTAGCATCAAATACATGCGAAACAAATGATTTAGTTTCAAATGATTGCGATATAAATGATTTAGCTTCAAATGCATGCGAAACAAACGAGTTACCTTCAAATCCATGCGAAACACATGATTCAGCTTCAAATTCATCCGAAACACATGATTTAGGTTCAAATTCATGCGGTACACATGATTCAGCATCAAGTTCTTGCGACACACGCGATTTAGATTTAAATTATTGAGGAACTCATGATTTAGCTTCAGATTCATGCGACACGCCTGATTTAGGTTTAAATTATTAGAAAACATAGGGTTTAGCATCAAATTCATGCGAATCCGATGATTAAGCTTCAAATTCACGTGAAACACATGATTTGGGTTTAAATTAATGCGAAACAAATTATTTAGCTTCAAATACTTGCGATATAAATGACTTAGCTTTCAATGCCTGCGAAACAAACGAGTTAGCTTCAAATCCATGCGAAACACATGGCTTTGGTTCAAATTCATGGGAAACACATGGTTTAGCTTTACTTTCATGCGAGACACGTGATTTAGCTCCAAAATCATCCGAAAAACATGATTTAGCTTCAAATTCATGCGAAAGACATGGTTTAGCTTCAAATTCATGCGAAACAAATGATTTAGCTTCAAATACTTGCGGTATAAATGATTTATCTTCAACTGAATACGAACCAAACGAGTTAGCTTCAAATGCAAGCGAAACACGTGATATAGCTTCAAATCAATGCAGAGTAGAAGGTTTATCTTCAAATCCGTGAGAAATGTATGATTTAGCTTCAAATCAATGCGATGTAGGAGGTTTAGCTTCAAATCAATGCGAAACAAATTATTTAGCATCAAATACTCGCATTGATTTCAATCTAAATCATGTGTTTCGCATGAATTTGAAGCTAAATCAGGTGCTTCGCATGAATTTGATGCTAATCCATGTTTATCGCACGAATTTGAAGCAAATTCATGTGTGTCGCATGGATTGGAAGCTAACTCGTTTTTTCCGCCTGCATTTGAAGCTATATCATTTATATCGCAAATATGTCAAGTTAAATCATTTGTTTCGCATGGATTTGAAGGTCACTCGTTTTTTCGCCAGTATTTGATGATATATCACTTATATCGCAAGTAATTGAAGCTAAATCATTTCTTTCCCATGGATTTGAAGCTAAGTCTTTTACATCGCATTGATTTGAAGCTAATTCACGTGATTCGCATGGATTCTAAGCTAAACCTTCTACATCGCATTGTTTTGAAGCTAAATCATTTGTGTCGCATGAATTGAAGCTAAACCTTCTACATCGCATTTACTTGAAGCTAAATCATGTGTCTCGCATGGATTTGAATCTATCTCGTTTGTTTCGCCAGCATTTGAAGCTATATCATTTATATCGGAAATATTTGAAGCTAAATCATTTGATTCGCATGTATTTGAAGCTAAACCTTCTACATGGCATTGATTTGAAGCTACATCATGTGTTTCGCTTGGATTTGAAGTTAAATCGTTTGTTTCGCATGCAGTTGAACCCAAATCATGTATATGACAAGTATTTGAAGCTAAGCCATTTGTTTCGCAAGAATTTGAAGCTAAACCATGTGTTTCGCATGAATTTGAAGCTAAATTATGTGACTCTCATGGGATTGAAGCTAACTCGTTTGTTTCGCATGCAGTTGAATCTAAATCATGTATATCACAAGTATTTGTAGCTAAACCATTTGTTTCGCATGGATTTGAAGCTAAACCTGCTGCGTTGCATAGATTTAAAGCTACATCATGTGTTTCGCTTGGGTTTGTATCTAACCCGTTTGTTTCGCATGCATGTGAAGCTAAATCATCTATACCGCAATTATTTGAAGCTACATCACTTGTTTCGCATGTATTTGAAGCTAAATCACGTGCTTCGCATGAATTTGAAGATAAACCATGTGTTTGCCATGAATTTGAACCTACATCATGGTGTTTCGCATGCATTTGAAGCTAAATCATTTCTTTCGCACGGATTTGAAGCTAAGCCTTTTACATCGCATTGATTTGTAGCTAAATCACGTGATTCGCAAGGATTCGTAGCTACACCTTCTACATCGCATTGATTTGAAGCTAAATCATGTGTTCCGCTTGGATTTGAAGCTAATCGTTTGTTTCGCACGCATTTGAAGCTAAATCATCTATACCGCAATTATTTGAAGCTACATCATTAGTGTGGCACGAATTTGAAGCTAAATCACGTGCTTCGCATGAATTTTCAGTTGAACCATGTTGTTGCCATGAATTTGATCCTAAATCATGTGTCTCGCATGCATTTGAAGCTTATTCATGTGTTTCGCATGGATTTGAAGTTAACTCGTTTGTTTCGCATGCAGTTGATTCTAAATCATGAATATCACAAGTATTTGAAGCTAAACCATTTTTTTCGCATCAATCTGAAGCTAAACCACGTTTTGCGCAAGGATTTGAAGCTAAATCATGTGTTTCGCATGGAATTGAAGCTAACTCGTTTGTATCGCATGCAGTTGAATCTAAATCATGTATATCACAAGTATTTAAAGCTAAATGATTTGTATCGCATGAATTTGAAGCTAATCCATGTGTTCCGCATGAATTTGGAGCTAAATTATGTGATTCGCATGGATTTGATGCTAACTCGTTTATTTCGCCAGCAGTTGAAGCTATAT